TGGACTCCCATGTAGTCAACCATGGTTCAAGTCCCGGACCCGATGGCTTAAAACTCACGCCGGGTGCATGTGCATGTGCATGTGTGTCCAAGATCCTGAGAGGAGAATGGAGGAGAAGGGATTGCGGCATGACCATCCCCCCTGGGGGGTGATTTCTCGCTTTCTGTCTCTATGTCTCTCTCTGTCTGTCTGGCGAGCACGTGTGCCCTATAGAAAAAAAAAGATTTTTGCATAAGCATGCCTTCTTAGGAATAATGTCATGGATAGATTCTTTGGTGGTGGATGGCATACAAGCCTGAAAGATTTACCTAAAACTGATATTCTTTACTGGTAAGCCTTCAAAGTACTAGTCCTTAGATGGTAGGTCAGGAATTTCTTGTAGGTAACATGAGGCATCAACACACCACCCGCTTTGCCAGCATTAATAAATAAATAGAAAGAAGAGAGAAAAGGAGAAATGGGAAGTAGCAATGGAGATGAGATGATGGAAGGGGAAAGCTTTTAGCTTTGAGTTTTAGGAATCTCCTTCAGACAAAAACATTTGTGGAATGTCATTGATAGGCAGGATTGTATATATTTTTTCTTTCTCTATCAGTTAAAATTAGCTGAATTTTCTCTTAAAACATGTACAGGACACTAAAGTTCAGAGGAGCAGTTTTGTTTTTACATGTTCTATTAAAAGTGTACAATAAAAATCCATGGTCTATGGGACTTTAAATATTACTTTTATGCTGATAACTTTCAGAGTTATATTTCTATCCTAAACTTTTGCTTAAATGCCAGATTTCAACACTCAACAGTTTACTTAGCATTTTTGTTTATATAATTGGTAGGTATTGTAACATTTAATGGCTAATTGTTCTTGTTATAAATGTACTTTACCAATAGCCTTTCCCGGAAAATGCCCTTTTTCCAGTTTCCTAGCCAAAACATGAAGTCAAATAATAATAATAACAACAACAATAACAACAACAACTACAGCACACAGCTGACTTAAAAAAAGAACATCTTTGCTTTTGCTTTCAATATATATTTATAGAGAATCTGATCAATTTTTCTCCCATACTCCTAACATCCTGGTCTGAGATCCATCATCACTCCCTTAGATCACTGTGATAGATTCTAAATGTTTATCCTACTCTTCCTCTTGTTCTATTAAGTCTGCTTTTAGTACAACAGTCAATATTCATTTTCAAGCTAGAGTCAAATCAGAATATTTCTCTTTTCTAAATCCAGTAATGGCTCCATTTTGTGTAGAATAAAAGGCAAAATCTTTACAATTATCTGACCTTCTGTTGCCTCTTTGGCTTCTTTCAGTATTACACCCTTGCTTCCACAGCTTCAGACAGTGTCTTCCTAGGTCTCCTTGGGCACATCAGACAGGCTTTCACTCTGTGGCATCAGCATGAGGTACACCTGTTTTCTCTGCCCACAACATTTCTGCATTAAGAGTGCATGGCTAATACCTTCATCACTATAAGACATTGTTCCAGTCTGCCCTCAGTGAGACTGACCTTATCTCTATACTTAATATAGTAGCTTCATCCGGACTCCCATGCCACTAACCGTGCTCTACCTTTTTCTCTTTTAAAACAATTTATTATCATTTAGCATACTATTTATTTACTTATCTATTGCTTTTTATCTATTCCCACTCAGATAGAAACTCCAAGAAGACAAGAATTCGTCTGTTTCAATCATGAATATATTTCAGGTTTGATGCCCAGTGCTTAGGCCATAGGAGAAAGTAATTGTGCACCTTGTGTCAATGTCGTTAAGTGCTTGGAATTTGAAATCTGTGTCAGAGACCTTAAAACTAAGGATTTCTGTAGGCTCTAGGTAGCATGGAAGTTATGGCACTGGATCCCACGTATCTAAATGGTATGAGTCCTGGACATGGAAGCTTGAAAAACACTGTACATTTATGCCCAAAATCCTGAGAGGAGAATGGAGGAGAAGAGGTTGTTGCATCTTGCTCAATGCTCTGGAGGGTTGTAGGGACACATTTGGAGAGAGAACCTGAGGTGTGGGGATATGTTCTGAACAAACATCACCTGTCCCTTTGGGCTTTGGCAGAACCTTGTAAATTGTTCTTTCCTTGACCCTCGCTGCAGACAGAGTGAAGGGTGGAAATTGCTAGGGGCATTCCAACAGACACATCTGATGGAGTTCAGGAAACAGCTTGACCCCAATTAACAAAGTCCAATCCCTGCTCTGCATCTGAAAGATTATTTAGCCTTCTCTGGGTGTGGTGATGCACATATTATGGAGAGGTTCTTTAACCTTATGTTTCTTCCCCACACCTGAAGTTAGACTTCTCTCCATTAGAAAAGAAGATAATGGTATTTTCTCTTAATGGCATTATCACCAAGGGATACATCTGGTTCACTATGTCTAAGCTCTTATAGATTTGTTACCTGCTTCTTATTGTCTGTAACCTGGCAACAAATCTATGAAATGTTGTAAAATATACATATGTAGAGTCACCCTGTACTATAAATAAAGAGGCCCGGTTTGTCTGGATGGCTCAAGCAGCAGCACAAGTGCGGCACAAGTTGCTTGGGCTATCTAGGCTGAGGCTGCCTGTTTCCACTGTTTGTTTCATTCTTTCTTTGTCTACATAGTCCTTCCTTTATAGCCTTCTGTTTCATAGATTGAAGCCTCTTCAGCTGCCCTGACCTCTGATCTCTGAGAGAATTATGATGACATGCTTGTCCTTCCTACCTAAAACATATTACAAAACTCAACACCAGCAGAATTCTGTAGCTATCCGGTGTTCATCTAAGTTGTTTCCCTTCTCTAAGAAACCTCAGTTATATGTTGTTTAATATTGAAAACAGCTATTCCCTACATTTTGCTCAGACTTATGTCAGGAAAGTCCAGTGACTCTTGTGGCCAGATATTTTAAACATCATGTTTTCTTTTAAGAAATCAGATTTGTGGTTTTATTTTTTTAAATAGTTACACATTGTGGTTTTGATTTGCATATCACTTATTATAAGAGATGCTGAGCATTTCTTTTTTTGTATCCTTTCTGGCCACTTGTATGTCTTCCTTAGAGTGTTATCTGCTCAGTTCATTTACCCATTTTCAATTGGGTTGAGAATTTTTTTCAGGTATTCTGATTGAGTTCCCTGTACATCCTGGTTATCAGATCCTTATCTGAGTCACAATTTGCAAATATGCTCTCCCATTTCAAGGGCTGCTGATTTATTCTAATTATTGTGTCTTTTGTGTGCAGAAGCTTTTAAAATCAAAACCAGATGAGATACCACTTAATTCCAGTCAGAATGGCTAAAATTAAAAAATGAAAGTAAGATAAGTGTTGGCAAGGCTGTGGTGGAAAGGCAACTCTCCTACACTATTGATGGGAATGTAAATTATTACAGTCATTGCTGAGTACAATATGAAAGTTCCTCAAAAACATATAAATAGAACTACTATATTACTCAGCAATTTCTTGGTATCTACCCAAGTAACAGGAAAATGCCAGTCAGAAAAACACTTGCACATCCATGTTTATTGTAGCATTTTTCAAAATTGCTAAGACATGGAATCAACCTAAGTGTCTATAAACTGTTGAATGGATTGAAAAAGGGTGGAACGTATACACTATGGAATACTACTCAGCCACTAAAAAATAAATCCTTGCATTTGATAGAAAGCAGACAAATATGGACATTTTACTGCTAAGGTTAGCAAGCCAGACTATGAAAGAGAGGCATTGTATGTCCCCAATCAATATATAATATATATACCGAATATCAGCACTGATGGCAGAAACTGAGTAATTGAAACTTATAAAAGCATGGAGAGCAATTGTGATACTGGAGGCAATATGGGAGAAGTGTGAGAAATGGGAGAGGGTGATAGGTAAGGAATCATGGGAAAGAAGAAAGAAGCAAAACATTTATGAGACCCAAAATGAAAATAAATCTATTGATTATAATTTATATTGCAATGTCTTTGGACCAATATGCAGTATATTCAGAATGGAAAATTCATTTGGTATGGTGTAATGATACACAGTGATTGATTGTAAAAAATAAATATATCATTTTAAAAATTAGTCACTAGTTATAGAAGTGATAAACTAATGTGCTTTTCTTACTTATAAAACACTCAATCTTGAGAAGGAGATAGAAAATAAGATAAGTCAATTCATAATTATACAGAAATAATTATACTTTTGACCATCATTATTAAGAAAATGAAAATGATGGAGACAAAGAATAATGGTAGTAGTGGAAGAATTTTGACTAGAGTAATGGGGGAAGGTTTCTCAGGAAATTACACTTAATCTGGTCATGGGTTAAGACTTAGGACCAAAAGTTAAAGAGAAACAGAGGGAGGTCAGCAGATGGCCTAGAGGTTACATTGCTAGACTTCCACACTGCAAACTACAGTTTGAGTAGCAGACAAATTGGCTTGAAACTCATGCCACTGGATGTATATATGTGCAGACCCAAGATTTGGGGAGGAGAAGTAATTGCAGCATGGCCATCCACCTTGGAGGGTGATATCTCACTTTGCCTCTCACTTTTTCTCTCTCTCTCCCTGGTGAGCATACATGCCCTAAGGCAAAAACTTCTACAAAAAAAAGAGAGAGGGAGAGAGAAAATCAGAGGAACAGTCACATGAGGAAGAAGGGGACTCCTTTTCAGAAAGGGAGATGTACCGACATTGAAGTGAGAAAAGACTTTCATTGCTCTGGGGCAAACTGGAAAAAGAATAATGGGATTGATGCATGTGAACATGAAGGACTCAATAAGTGCTTGGTGTGGCCGGCAAATAATATGGTGGGTAAAGAACTGGAATTCTTGACTGACCATAGTTCGTACAAGACTTAGTGGCTTGTGTTCTCTCTCTCTCTTTTGAGCACATGTGCCCTACAGCAAATTAAAAAATGATAATAATCAATACAATTAAATAATTATATTTTTAAAAAGTCTTGGGAGAACTGGAAGCATTGGCAAGGTGAAAAGGGAAATTCTAAGACAAGTCAAAAGTTTCTAAGAGAATGAGAAACTAAGGAAGGGTAACCGTGTGAAAGTATCATAATCTTCACATTATAGCTACTCAGATCATAAAGCAGATTAATATTTTTGAAGGACCCATTGACTGCCGGTGGAGAATGGACTTTATAATTTCTAACACATTTCTGAAAAAAACAACTTCGGATGGAAAATAAATCATATTATTAGGAAGACTGTTACATGCCAACCACAATCTTTTGTTTCAGCCATAGTTTTTTCATGGCATTTTTCACCTCTGCATTCCTCAAAGTGTAGATCAAGGGATTTAACATGGGTGGAACGATTATACCAGATGCAGACATAGCCTTGTCAATGGGGTAGGTAGCCACAGGCCTCACATACAAGAAAATACATGGCACAAAAAACAATAGGACCACCGTGAGGTGGGAGCCACAGGTGGAGAGGGCTTTGTGCTGCCCTTCAGAACTGTAAGATTTCAGGGAACAAAAGATAACTATATATGAAGCAATTAGGATAAAGAAGATAGCTATACACATCACCCCACTGTTGAGGATGACTAAGAGACCCAGGATGTGGGTGTCCATGCAGGCAAGTTTCAACAACGGAAACAACTCACATATAAAGTGATCAATGACATTGGGGCCACAGAAAGGAATTTGGTACATGAAGAGAAGTTGTACTGTGGCATGCAGGGATCCCCCCACCCAAGCCCCTCCCACCATCAGAGAGCACACCCAAGGGCTCATGATGAGCGTGTAGTGCAGGGGCTTACAGATGGCCACATAACGGTCATAGGCCATCACGATGAGCAGGATGATGCTCACGCCACCAAAGAAGTGCTGTGCAAAGAGTTGAGTCATGCAGCCTTCCAGGGAGATGGTTGTGCTCTCAGAGAGGGAGTCCACAATCAGCTTGGGGGTGATGGCAGAAGAGTAGGTGACATCCAAAAAGGACAAGAAGGTAAGAAAAAAGTACATTGGTGATCGTAGATTCTGACTTGTGATTAAGGTTACTATAATGAGTAAGTTTCCCAAAAGTGTAGCAACATACATGATTAGAAACACAGCAGAAAATATTTTCCTCAGCTCTGGGTTCTCTGTAATACCCAAAAGGATGAATTCTGTCACATTGTTTTTGTTTTCCATTTATCAGGTATTGACATGAGTTCCAGCTGAATGTTGGGAAACCTAAAAAATAAATATGTAGTTTTATTTAGTGATTATTAGGCCTCTGTATTTCCAGGATCTTGGGGAGCTTGTTGATCATAATTATACATTTACTCACCCTCCAAATACTTAACTTTTAAGAACCTACTAAATAGGGACCAGCAGATAGCGTAACAGTTATTTTCCTGGACTTTCACATATTCTTCTGTGATTTGATTCCTTGACCCGATGGCTTAAAACTCACTGGGCTCGGGAACCAGCAGTTAGCGTAATGGCTATGTCATTGGACTCCCACGTAGTCGACCGTGGTTCGCATCCCGGACCTGGTGGCTTAAAACTCATGCCGGGCGCGTGTGCATGTGTGCCCAAGATCCTGAGAGGAGAATGGAGAAGGGATTGTGGCATGATCATCCCCCCTGGGGGGGTGATTTCTCGCTTTCTGTCTCTATGTCTCTCTCTGTCTGTCTGGTGAGAGCATGCGCCCTATAGCAAAAACCTCTCAAAAACAAACAAACAAACAAACAAAAACTCACTGGGCTTGTTTGTGTGCACACCCAAATCCTGAAAGAATGGAGGAAAAGGGATTGCAGCATGGCTGTTCCTCCTTAGGAGGTTTCTCGCTTTCTGTCTCTGGCAAGTACATGTGCCCTAAAGCAAAAATGTGTCCAAAAAACAAAAAAAAAGAAAAAGAAAAAAGAAGAATGTACTAAATAAAGAGTTTAAAATTCAGATACTTCATTAATGCAAGTTCACTTCATGTCTCTTCTCTCTTTTAAGTAATTATTTCATATGAAATAATTTCTTTTTCCTTCTCCTCCATTTATAATTCATTTTAAAAGAATTATTTATTTACTTATTATTACTGTCATTATTATTATTGTTAATTTTGCTACAGAGCACATGTATTCACCAGCATGACAGAGAGAGAACAAAAGAGAGAGAGAGAGAGTAAGAAAGTGAGCCAGTTGGTCCAGGACTCAATCTACTGTCAGACATGTTGGAACACAGTGCTTTAATCACAACTCCACCTACTGGCCTCTGTAATTGTTATTTTTAATAAGCAACCTTTTGGAGCACCTATCTCATTCCAGGCACTGGAATAACTCTACAAGTAACTTTATATTACATAGGAAAAACAAAAACAAAACAAACAAACAAATGAAAAAACTCACTGTCATGGAGTTCGGGAAATGTAATCAAGTTGGCATGGATAGTGAGTGGTGAAGCCGGAAATGTACACCATATTTTCTGAGTTCAGAATCAATGCTCCCAAACATAAATATTGCTTCTCTTATTTATTTACCCATGGCTATTCTAAATGTATTATAGTTATTATCCTGTTTTATCTTTAAAACTATTATTTGAAATGGGTTATTCCTTCTGAGCTCTATTTTCAAATAATATGGCAATTCTCTTGTAATTTTGTGCTTTTTTTTCCTAAATGATCAACATCTACTAACACTAGTCATTATATAGTCCTTGACTAATATCATTCAGTGATGAAACTTACAAATGATGATGGCGTAGCAAAGGTTCAGATGTATGATATAATGATTCAATGAAATCAATCTAAGTCATAGCTACATTTCCTCTCTCATAAATAGATCATAGAATTCCTTGTTGTAATTTTGATCACAACAAGGAAACAGGTGGTAGCAAAGTGGCTTACCCACATGGGAAGGTCCCAGATTTACATCTGGAGGCCTCCCTGATTATACTGGGCACATGTGTTCCCATTGTCTGGGGCTGGCTGAGGTTGGAAGTAGTTTGTGTCAATAAAACCAGGTTAGGTGTACATTTTCTCTCCTTTTTTTTTGGCTTATGAAGGACATATAAAAACACACTGGGCATGCATTCAATAGCCTGGGCTCTGAGAGGACGAAGGATTGGGCCTTGACCAGAGCCTGGAGAGTGCTTTCTCTCCCCCCTGGTCCCATCCTTATCACTTTCATATGCCCATGCTGCACTATATTATGTGTACAGGAAAATATCTAAAAAATAATAATGATGATAACACCTAATTCATTAACTTTCAGGTTGACTATATCTTGGGGCGCTGTTGCAGATATGCTAGGTGCATTACCTTAGTTAAACCTCATGACACCAAATAGTAAAGGTACTATTCTCATTGCAAAAAAAGAAACTGATGCCCTAGGAATTGAAACAGTTTGCACTGGATTATATAACTATCATGCTGTGGTGCTGGCATTTTGATATTATAACTCAAATTTTAATCAACTCTGCTCCACCATTGGAGCAAAGGATAGATTATGTGGTGTTTCAGAAGAATTACTACTGTAACCAATAGGAATGTTTTAATGAAAATCTGCTTCCTATTACAGAGTGCTTATAAACAGTCTGGCTTCCACATTTAGGAATTTTGCCAAGTATTGCTTTACAATGATATTTGAATTAGACCTCTCTATGAATGCTAAGGGTCACTCCTGCTGTGTAATCGCTCACACCATTCCCACCCCTTATACAAAGTGCAGAATAGCAACAGGAGACTGGAAGCATCCCATGGTATTTAATCTCATCCTCTCTCCCTCCTAGTCCAATAACAGAGGTCTTTGTTGGAGTAGTCCTTGTGAAGTATAAGGAACTCTGACTGTGTAGTCAGGAATGAGAAGTAGGTTTGATTCCAGGTTGCTTGCATTGCTGTGGTTTGGGCATGCTGTTGAAACTTAGGTTCCTCATTTGCAGTATAAGAATAGTGGTTTATCCTATTTCCAACCCTAATGACTGAATACCACACTAAGCAATTTATAAAGAATAGAGGTTTGCTCAGCTCATGAACTTGGAGGTCCAAGGTCAAGGAGACACACCTACTGAGGTCTTTTTGCTACTGGGGACTCTCTACAGAGTCTTGAGGAGGCACAGGACATCACATGGTGAGATGTGTCATGTCTGTGTGTCATTCTCTTTCCACCTTGTAAATCACCAGGATTCAATCACAGAGGCTCCTTCCTGATGACCTTATTTAATCTCAATCACCTCCCACAAATCTTTTAATGCCATAGTTGTATTAAATCTTCACCCCTTAATTCCATCATGACCAAATTTCAGTACATAGTTTTGGGGGGTGGGGGCATTCAAATCATAGCAGTTGGTTCACTGGATGAGAAGCAATAGGAGTGACTCAGTTCTTCAAACTCAGTCAGTTCTTAATCTGAACTAATTGTTTATATTTATGGGTAATATTTTCTTAGATAGGTGGTTCATTTCACGTATAAAGAATTGAAAGCTGCAGCTCTGGGCAATATCTAAGCCCTGTTTACCTGAGGCTTGAAACTTAGAGCAACTCCCTTTTGATACAGAAAAAAGTTGAAATTTCTCACCTAATATTGAACTCCTATCACCAGGTCCCTCTCCATTATTTATTAAAATTAATTTCTCTCTCTATTTATAACATCATCAGTCCCACCCACATTGGGCAAGAAAACTCCATTTCTTTCTACACCTGTCTTTTTGTCCTCACCAAACAGTCCTTGATTAAAACACAGCAAAGGGACTTGTAAATCTCAGCCAGGCTACTACTGATTTTGTAATCTCAACCTATCCAAGCCTCAATTCTGCAGCAGCATAGTTAGTAAAAAACAAATGACAATTACTCTGTATTGCTTTGTATTGATGGCCAATATACAAATAACCTTTGCTTATTCACTACAAGTAGCCATATAAAGTCTTATGACTATCTGGATTTCCAAAGCAGCAAGTGAGGTTTAGGAAATTTTGTAATGGACCAGCCAGTGGTGTGGTGATTAGGGTAGTTCAATCTTGCCTGGCCAACTGCACAGTTCAAGTTCCAGACCTGAGAGTTTAAAAAACACAATTGATGCCTGTTCATACATGCCCCACAGAGGGAAAAATGGAAAAGATTTAGGTGTGGTGTGGCCACCCCTCCAGGGGTTGTTTTGTCACTTTCTGTTTCTCTCTATTCTGTCCAGTGAGTGCACATGACCAATAGCAGAATTTATAAAAACAAAGAAAGAAAATTAAAAGTTGTCTAACTTCTTTATAGTTTTTTGAAGGTTACCACCTGCTATTCCTTTTAGCCCTCCCCCCACACACACACATGCACTTGCAATACTTCTGCCTTCTGACCCATGCTGTGAAGGCTAAAAAAGGCAACATTCATAAAGAGTGTGAAAACAGAATTCACACATTTAAATTGGTTTCCTGGTTATGTCTTTATGACTCTCAGCTCTAGCTTTGCCTATTGCCTTTACCATGACCTGTATAAACCTTTTCTTCTAAATGGCTGTCATCACCTTTACCACCCAAAGTATTTAGTCTAACTTCTCATTGTTTTTGCCATATCATTATTTCATGTTTATTACATGTTTCTCTTATTTCCACAAGAAGATGTACATCTTACACATTTCTCAAAATCCCTAATAGAATAGTTTGGGCACCAAAACAAGCCAAAATGTTTTGTCAGTTGGAAGGAAACTGCAAAGAGCTGGATGGACATAGGTAATACTATCACCCCAACCTCCAGATGTGACAGCAAATGGTCCTCATGGTCTGGCTGCAATTTCTTAGTCAACCAGGCTCAATGAGGACATTTAATCTGGCTGGTTTTTTTTTTGTTGTTGTTGTTTTTATTTATTTATTTATTTATTTATTTATTTATTTATTTATTTTACCATTTGTATGCTTAGATAAGCTTCAGCCAAAATTAAGAACTTCACATTACCTTGAACTTCAGTCAGTCCAGTGATGAATCACAGCATCTGCTTTCTCTTTTTAATTATTTTCTTTCACTGAGTGTAAGAAGTCTTCTTTTAAAGGCTGTCCTAATGAACACGAGGACAATTATAATGAATGGTCTTCTTATTTCTTTGTGAAACCCCTCCCTTATACTTCCCAATTACTTAAATAGACAAATATTCCAAAACCTTGTCAGATGTGCCCCATTTCCTTAAATAAGGAACAGGATTAATAAACTTTAAATAATGGCAATAAAATAACTATGAACTGAGGAAATGAGAGAAAAAGAAATATTTAAGCCTTAAAGTTACACTGTGGCTAAAAGAAAGGAAGAATGGGGGCTATTCCCAGCAGATGGAACAGATCAGAGAAGTCCCAGAGGTGGGAATTAGGGAGACTATATGGTGTAGACAGAGAGCAAAGGCCCTGAATCACATACACCAAGTTCTCATTTTGATTTCTGAAACACGCTTTACATGCATAAGTTACTCATAATGGTTTATTCTTTCAGGTAGGCATTTGTACTTAGAAAAAGTGAACTTGTACATGCAATTCAGTAATGTAATTATGCCAGCATAGATCACAACACACACATATATATATATTATACTTCATATTTTAATGAATATTTTGTCATTGTTAGAGTTCAATGTCAGAATGTAGAGATTTACATGATTTCAATTTTCTGCAATTTTAACAATGCTGTAGGAAAATTTTTGCGTGTTTGTATGTATGTGCTTACCAGTTAATCCACCCTTCGAATCTGCTGGTTCTATATTCATGGATTTGAAGAACCTTGAATCAGAAGTATTCAAAAGATAAATTGGGTGTATCTTCACTGAAAATGTACAGGCTTCTTTTTGCTTGTTTACACCTTGAAATGTTTAAAGCAGAAGCCTTAAGAATCTAACTTCTCTGGCTCATCAAGGGATTTATATTCTCTTCTATTAACAACAGTTTTTAAAAGAGGGAGTCAGAGCCTTTTCCAAAGTATTTCATGTTTCTTCATGAATTAAGGTTGAGTGTATTTTTAGATGAAAAAAAAAAAGTTTTGTTCAGCTTCTTAGGAGATACGTCATGATCATACATTCTTCTCTGCATGACTGACTCAGGCTAAGAGAATGGAGCACCTAATTAAGCACCTATGACAGCACAGACTTACATCATTCTGGTTGCCTCCCTTGAGGCTGGTTCTCCATCTATGAAAGGGATGATCTTGAATACAATGAACTCCCAGCCAACTGCTTTAATAATTGGGTATTCTCAGGGGCAAGAACATCCCCAAGGCCAGACAAATGTGCTGCTGTAGAAGCTGAACTCTAGGTCACAGTCCTTATTATTCAGTTATTTGCTCTTGCACTGCGATCTGTACCATAATTTCAAAAGGTCATTTTCTGGGAAACAGCAGTTAGCGTAATGGCTATGTTGCTGGACTCCCACGTAGTCGACCGTGGTTCGCGAGGCTGGCTCTCCATTGTTGGAAGGGCTGATCTTGAATACAATGAATTCCCAGCCAGCTGCTTTAATAATTGGGTATTCTCAGGGGCAAGAACATCCCCAAGGCCAGACAAATGTGCTGCTGCAGAAGATGAACTCTAGGTCACAGTCCTGATCATTCAGTTTTTTGCTCTTGCACTGTGATCTGTACCATAATTTCAGAAGGCCATTTTCTTACAGTAACTAGAACCTATGATCTGGAAGGAACTTGAATCACATCTTATTTGTAGATTTCATTTCCCACACAGGAGATTTACATGAGCTCATTGCATATTGTCTGTTATTGTGATCTACACATTTTTCTCTAAGTAGAATAATTTATTTAGATATAATTTCTTAAGAAATGAAATTTTCAAAATAGTGAGTTACAATTTTGATTTTTTCTTGTCATAAATTTGTTTGATGAAGTTGCTGCCTTGGCATTAATTTTTAGGCTTGACAGAAATTGTTTAAAACCCAGTCATACTTCAATACCTTGGTCCAGGTTGTTTGTGATATGTCCCACTTGTCTCTTCTCATATTTACCCATAATCCAACACATCCCAGAGTCACTATGATAAAACTTAATGGTTGGGACCAGCAGATTGCATAATGGGTATGTTCTGGACTCCCATTTAGTCAACTGCAGTTTCAGTCCCAGACTTGGCAGCTTATAACTCATTCCAGATACATGTGTGTGAGTGCCCAAAATCCTGAGAGGAGAGTAGAGGAGAAGGGATTATGGTGTGGCCATTCCCCTTGGGAGCTGATTTCTCTCTTTCTGTCTCTCTGTCTCTCTCTTTCTCTCTGGTAAGTGCAGGTACCCTAAACCAAAAATGTCTCATTAAAAAAAAGTAAAAACTTGGGACCTGCAAATGGCATAATGGTTACGTGACTGGATTCCCATATAGTTGACTACAGTTATGAGTCCTGGACTGTGAGGCTTAAATCACACTGGGCACGAGTTTGTGTGTGCCCAAGATCCTGAGAGGAGAATGGAGGACAAAGGATTGTGGTGTGGCCATCCCCTCGGAAGGTGATTTCTCACTTTCTCTCTCTTTCTTGCAAGTATACAGGCCCTATAGCAAAAACCTTTATTTAAAAAAAAAAAGGAATAAAAAGCTCTTAATGTTCAATGCCAGCATTGTGTAAATCAGTTCTACTACTTTAGGTCCTCTCTTACATGCTCCTCAGCCATTGGTTAATGTTCCTGCTGCAACTGGACTTGTCATCAACTTCATGTGGGTACACATAACTGTTTTGAGACCCATGAGTAATAAGTGAAATGACTTCTGTCTCATGAATTTTGATTTCACCACTTCACAGTGTCTCATCTGACACACACATACCTAAACCTGACTTCTTTCTGGTGAGAAATGTCTTACAGAGTAACTATCTTGGCACAAATAAATTGGACACAAATCACAGAGATCTAGTGATCATAGATGTTGGGAGTGTGGAAAAAGTGAATTTTCATTCATTCCAACACCTTTCAAACCCAAAGCAGATAGAAGGAAGTTCAAGAAAAGGGTTAAATACAAGTACAAAATAGAAACTATGGATATTCAAGGGGGAAAAATACACTTTCCATACTGATATATAGTTTTTTGAGAGGTTTTTGCTATAGGGTGCGTGTCCTCACCAGGAAGACAGAGAGAGACAGAGAGACAGAAAACGAGCAATCACCCCCCCCAGGGGGGGATGGCCACACCGCAATCCCTTCTCCTCCTTTCTCCTCTCAGGATCTTGGGCACACATGCACATGCACCCAGCGTGAGTTTAAGCGACTGGGTGTGGGACGTGATCCATGGTCAACTACATGGGAATCCAGTGACATAGCCATTACGCTAACCACTGGTCCCCATACTGATATTTTGAAAGGCTTTATTAAAGTAGTAAGAGCAAAAAAAGTTTAGGAAGCTCTTTTGGAAATTGCAATAGTTTCCAATCTTAGTACT